TCACTCTCCTTTGTTTTAACCTCTTGAATCAAAGACCCCAGCTGCTACTCCGGGAGAGGCTAGAAATTAATCCAATTAAAAAATAAATTCCCTGTGGAATCAAAACTGCTTGCCAGGTGGGGGGTATGTGCAAGTGATTTCTTCATTCTAATCAACAAACTCTTTTTTTATAGCCCCTGTTTCACAGAGGGGAGAGACAGAGAGGAAAGCATATGAAGCAAATATAAGAAACAAATGATCGGGATGATTTATAACCCCAGTACCAAACTGCAACTGAGAGGAAGGATCGCAGCCTCCGGCTTCTATAGACTACATGGCCAGAGACAGATGCACAATGCTGCATGCTACCCTCAAACACAAACAGTCATAGAACAACAAAACCTTTTGCCGCTCCGTTCCATTCTTTTGTTTTCTGGGGGTTTGGTTGGCCCAGACTTGTGGAGCTTGACAGGTTAACCCCACACTTCCGTGGTTGCAACAGAAATGATTAAACAGAGACGATTGTTTAGGTTGGGAAGCAGAAGGAATTCCTTTGTTTTTGCAGATCACTCAACGGCAGCAGAGCCCACCATGAGGCCGAAGAGGCATGGTCTGCGAGCAAAGCCGGAGGGCTTTGTGCCAGGGAGAGCGTTCGTGCCACTTCTCTTCAGTCTCGGGGACAAGATGGGGGAGGGATGCATTGCATCCCAGCTTTATGGTTGGAGAAAGGTCTGCTGGACCTTCTAGATCTACGTGTTAGCAGTATCAACAGGAAATCATGCCTAGCAGACCTGAGCCTGCTAGGCCTGCTAGCCCAGGAAAGCTTCAGCAAAACACTCCATCTTAGGGCTTGTGCTATGAAGGGATCCCACCCCATTGTTCCAAGAGCTTACAGACATCYTGTAAGCTCTTGGATTTTGGGGGAACCACAGCCAAGGATTTGGGGGGAATCACAGCCAAGGAGAAAACGGAAATTTCTATACCCAGGGCTTGGTGTCCCTAAGCTTTCCCAGGAAAGGGGATGCTACCTCTCCTTAAACCCTGGTTTGCTCTCATGTCCTTGTGCATTAAGTTGCACAGCAAGGTGGATATCTTACCTTCACTCCCAGCCCTAGGACTGAATGGTCTGGAAGCCTCCTGGTCTATCTTCATTGACAGAAGTCACTAGAGAGACCCAGGCACTGGCTAAGAGGAAGAAAGTCTTACCTTGTCATGAGACACATGCAAACATGTATTGCTATAGGAAAAGCCTAATGATGAAGGGGGACCGAGTTCCTAAGAGCCTCTCTTCAGCCAGAGAAGAGTCAGGGAGTGGGAGATCTCTTTTTTTTGTCATTCTCCTAAGGTCACAGTTATTCAAGAAGGTCTTGCCCAAATAAACTTTGTTTCTAAGGACTGGATCAGAATCAGGGGAACATCACAACTGGTGAACGGGTGCTTTTGGAAAAAAAAAAAGAAAAAGGAAAAAGAAAAAAAAAGTTTTTTTTTTTTTTTAAAAAAAAAGCAAGGAGTGAGTTCCTGAGCACCGTTCTGACTTGGTTGCTGGTGGCATCACGTTGATGCCACCATTTTTGCTCTTCAGAAGCAACATATTGTCTTAGGATCTCAGGGATAGGAGGGTCTTTTCTTATTTTTTTTCCTTTGCCTGACACCCATCTCTCAGAGCAGCTTTGATGTCTGTGTCAAAGCAGTAGAGGAAGGAGTTTGTTAGCAAAGATCAGACCTTTGGACACTGAGAAATGCCTCCTTCTTCGCAGGCTCTGAGTCTCTGCAACAACACTAAGTGCAAGAAAGCTGGTAAATTATTAAAGCAACCTTGCAACAGCTCCGGAGAAACCACCAGTGCCTCAGATTCAAAGAGAAGGCTGTGGTGTGAGAATCCCCATTAGTAACAATACGCACAGTTTGCAGGAACATATGTCCCCACATGGAGCAATCAGCCAATGTGGGCTGTTTAGCCATAATATTTCAAAGAAGTGCTTTTAACACAGGCGATCCGTATGTTTATTTTTGAGCTGCAAAACTGAAATCTTACTCAGCCTTTCAGAACATTTCTCTGGTGGACTCCATCCAAAATATTGGGGAGAAGGCTTTGCTCCAACAGGGCAGCTGATATATGTATTTTTTTAACTCAAAGTCACAACTGGGAAAAGGAAAAAAAAAAAAAGTAATAGCCAGAATAGGAAGAAAGTGCTTTTTGTCCTCTAAAAAGTAAGAAGAGATAGACCCCACTGGGGAACAGTCAGGAAAGCGACCTCCTAAAAACAGTGGGATAGGACAAGGGCAGATAGGAAAGGGGTAATTTCCAAACCTCTCCTGGTGTAGATACTTGAAGATATATCGAAAATAGACCTCTTTCCAACCTCACTTGGGGAGTGCATGGGAAGCAAACGCAGGTCCTGTTTTATTGATTGATTGGATGATTTGGGGTTCTTTTTTTAATAAAGACTAAGCACTCCTCTCGGAACAGCACTCCCTGCCTGTGCAGGGCATCGGGAGGGGGAGGAACAGGGCGGGGGGACACGGGTGGAAGGTCTGGTCCCCTGGCCCGCTCGGTATAATCCTAATTAAAAATAAATTACATGCTGCTCGGGACTTGAAATGGCAAAAGATAATCCTGTTAKGCGCGCGGGGCCGCCCCGCCGCCCGCTCCCGCGGCCCTGTTCCCAGGCGCGACGGCCCCGCCGCAGCGCGGGCGCGGAGCCCTTGCGCGGGACGGGGGGAGGCAACGGGGGCGCCGGGCTCGGCGCCAGCGCAGCGCCCCCCCGCCGCGAGTGCCGGTGCGCTGCCCAAATCCCCTTTCCCTAAGCCCGAGCCGCAGCGGGGGCGGCCCCGCTCGCGTGCCGCGCAACCCCGCGCAGCCCCGCGCAACGCGGCCGCCCTCCCAGCGCAGTCCCGCGCAGCCTCGCGCAACCCAGCGCAGCCCCGCGCAACGCGGCCGCCCTCCCCGCGCAACCCAGCGAAGTCCCGCGCAGCCCCGCGCAGCGTAGCCACCCTCTCCGTGCAGCCCTGCGCAGCCCCGCGCAGCGCAGTCTCCCACCCCGCGCAGCGCGGCCGCTGCCCGCTCCGCTTTGCGCGGGCGCATCCTGCGCGGAGCCCCTTTTTGTCCGGGGTTTTCGGACCAGACGGGGTTTGGGGAGAGGGAAGCAGGGCGGCACCGCGTTTAATTTGCTTCCTTTTCTTTTAAAGCCCAGGGCTTTAAAGACGGAATACTGATGCTTGGGAAGTGGGAAGGAGGCACAGGGGGGTAGGAATAAAAGAAAAGGGAAGGAAAAGAGGAAAGGAAGGAAGAAAGCAGAGAAGGAAAGAGGGATGGAAGAGAGAAAGAAAGGAGAATGGAAGGGAGGAAGGAAGAGAGAAGAGAAGGAGGGAGGGAGGGAGAGAGGGAGGGAAGAAAGAAAGGAGGAAGAAAGAATGGAAGAAGGGGGAAAAAAARGAAAAATGAAGGAACGACATAGGGAAGGAAGAAGGAAAGCAGAGAAGGAGAAAGAAGCAGGGAAGGAAAGATGAGAAGGAAAGGAAATAAAGAGAGGAGGAAAGAAGCCCTTTCCCAGATGCACTGGATACTTCCATGGGACCCCCCGCCCCGTGCCGGCTCCATGGGTCCCCCAGCTGCCTGGGCAGGTTTCCTGCACCAGGACSGGGGCCAAACCGGCACCGAGATCGGGCCGAGGGCCGGGATCGGGTGCAGGGCTGGGAGCTCGGGCGCACTCGGCGCTTCGGCTCTGCCCAGGCAGATGGTTTCGTTCCCCCCGGTCCGTGCCAGGTTTCAGCCTCATGCTGTTATTTTGTTCTTCTGGAACGAGACTAGTGTTGCTTCCCAGAGAGGCCCTATTAGGACAAAAAAGAAAATCCTGTGAATAGGCGTAACAGGGCACCAGGAGGGATAGGTCTTAAATGTATTTTAATATGAGCTGGGCATTGTGTGTAATTCAGCGCTCATCATCGTTTAGTCAAAGAGTTATGGCAGTGATTGGGAATGAATAGAGGGACATAATGGATACATGTGGCGTTTGCTCATTATATTCAACTTAGTCCAACTCCTCTGTGGAAACTGTTCAACTTTCTCTCCCTTTAGCCTGTCATAGTGAAATAATACAGACATTGGTTCCTCAAATGGGCTAGCCTGCCATGCTATTATATTTCTACAGCTAACGAGGGCTTCATAAGCCTTTGATACAGCCTGATCTTTGAAACCTTTCCAAATCTCCTCGAGCTTATGCTAAATCCTATTTGGAACTTCTTTTTTTTCTTTCTTTCTTTATTTCTTTCTTTTTTTTTCTTTCTTTTTTTTTTTTCCTTTTCGCCTGCTAATGCCCAAAAGGCTTAAGACACCCGGGCGGTGACATGCATACTAAAGCGTGCGCGGGGACACCTCCTGAAAAGGCGGCTCACGGCGCTGATCACAGGCGCTCTCACGCGAGCGACACAGCGAGCGCGGCCGCGCACGTGAGGGCCGCCCGTCCCCCCCTGCTCCGCATCCCGCTCCGGTTCCTCC